TTATTATTACAAGGATAAGGTCCTTCTCCACCAAAGTCTAATAAGTGAGTGGGAAGTGTGAGTGGGAAGTTTTTCAAGTCTGGACCAAGGACCTGATTTGTGGACACAGTTTTCCCAGAGGTGCTGGTCTAAAAGGGATGCTGCATGAAGCCACCCTAAAGCTAAAGGCATGCCAGCAGAAATGGGCACCGATGGAGTAGCAGAAGAGGAGGAATGGAGACAAGAGCTGCATGGGATCTCCTGGGCTTCTGAGAAGTGGCACCCAAGTTGGACCCAAGGGAAGGAGCCAGTAGTGGTTTGAGCCTTGGACTAGGACTCTGGAGACCAGGGTTCAAATCCCTCCTCGAGCATAAAAACCCACCTGGGGCAATCCACACTCTCTCAGCCTCAGCCATGGCAAATCCTTCCCCATCATTGAGAGGAGAGATGCCATCTGAAGTCAAAGCTGAAGACCGAGACAAGGAGAAATATATCTGGGTGTCATCAGTGTACTGATAACACCCCGCCCCATGTCTCCAGATGATCCAGTAAAACATTGTCTTAATAGTATTTTTTAATGGGATGGATGTACTTGGTGTAGGGATATTAGTTTTTCAATATCAGGTTGGATGTCACTAAGGAGATGTTGGATGTCACTAAAGATGACTCATTCCCTGTGCTATATCTGGCTGAGGAACCCATCAAAGCATGGGGGGGTGTTCCTCTCACTTTCCCTGTGCTATAACTGGCTGAGGAAGCCATCTGTAATGTCACACAGGGGAAAGCATTGGGGGTCATGACTTGAAATGACTGTATAGTACACAGCAGAAAGCTCTGCTCTGGGCCCCACAAGAAATTCCAATTCCCAGAATTCCATAGCTTTGAGCCAGGGAACTTAGAACAGTGCCAAACTAGACTATTTCTCCAGTGTGGATTCAGCCTAGGACTCTGGAGAACAGGGTTCAAATCCCGGCTCGGCCATGGAAGCCCATTGGGTGGCCTTGGGCAAGGCACACTCTCTCAGCCTCAGGGAAAGGCAATGGCAACCCCCCCCCTCTGAACTTATCTTGCAAAGAAAACCCCATGATGGGTTCACCTTTGGGTCGCCATAGGTTGGAAATGACTTGAAGGCACACAACAACAACCGTAAAGGAAAAAGTACAAATGACTAAGCACCAAGCACAGCTAGCTTTGGGAAGTCAGGCGTGAAAGGCAATGTATGAAGAATGTAAATGTATGTTTTTAATTTTTAGAAAATAAAAATAAAAAAGACTTTCGTGGAGAAGGACCGGGGG